TAGCTAGAAATGAAATCTATGATGTTGGTGTCCAGAACTTGCTTCAAAATGTTCTAGAAGGAGAGGTGGGCAAGGGGTAAGGGGAAGACACAGATAGAATAAGGTGGATTTTGTGTTGATAATTGTTGGAACCTAGAGATTAAACAAAGCTTAAGACGCATACCAACCAAATGCAATGTATAGACCTTGTTTTGATTCTGATTCAAATAAATGGAGTGAAAAATAATCCAGGTGACAATAAGAGAACTTTGAACTCCAAACTTTTGATTGACATTAAGGAAACAGTATTAATATTTTTAGGTACTGTGATGGCATATTGGTTACTTTTAAGAAAAAAAATATTTCTTATTTTTAGAGATACGTATGGAAACATTTATGAGTGAAATGATGTGATATATTGGATTTGCCTCAAAATATCCCAGAAGCAGTGTATGGGGGAAATAAGTGGAGATTAAAAAGGAAAAAAAAAGGTTGACCATGTGTTGATAATTATTGAAGCTGTGTGATGAGCACTCGGGGATTCATTTTATTGTTGTGTTTACTTTTGACTATGCTTAAAATTTCTACAATAAAAAACTTAACAGCAAACATTTGTAAAAAAAAAATAGTATCTCATTTCTTTCTATAAGTAGCAAAACTGAGGCTTTGAGAGGGTAAGTCATATGCCCAAGGTTCAGGCATTCAACATTTCAACAGACAGTTGGGGGCAGGAGTGGAAGATGGTCATCTGTTCCAACTCAGGGGACAAGGCATTAACCACTGGAAAGCCTGCTTTTCCCGCCTGCTCAGGGTCTGCTTTCTCCTTCTGTTAATAGTACCTTGACTTTTCTTGGGGGACCAGCTTCCCCAGTTCTTAGCCACGTGAGAGCGAGGCTGACTTCAAGAGTGTCTCCGGCTCCAGGCCTGGGTACATAACGTGGGTCTAAACAATCAGATTATTCTACACTTTGCTCATGGTGGTTGCTTCAAAGTAGGGGACCCAATGAGACTCAATCCTTCGAGTTTTCTAGAGGTGGAAGGAGAAGCTCCTTTTACGCCAAAACTGCTACATGATAGTAGTGGCAGTGGAATAATATGTATTGAAAGCTCACTGTGTGCTGGGCAGCGTTCTAAGCACTTTACACGTATTAATAGAGATGTTAATTGTTATTATCTATTATTAAGTATTCCCTGTTTACAGATGAGAACACTGAGGTTAAGAGACCTGTGAGGATCTGGGGCTGCTGAAGACCACTAGATAAAGAAAATCTGCCTGAGGTAAAGTCAACACTGAAGGGGAAAAAATAGCTCCAAGGAGGCCAAGCTGCTGTCACCTGAGTCCCTGAATCTGAGCCCCTGGATTCAGCTTTACTTTGGACTTTCCTCTTTCTTGGGCCAGGGCTTCTTTACTAGTACAAGCCAGTTTAAGTTGGGTCTGAGCATTTTGCAGTCCAAAGAGACTTAAACCATAAAATGATGGAGGTCGTTGAATGCCAGGCGCAGGGGAAGGAAGAAAATGAAGAGGAACCAGTAAAAATTGCCCATCACTGTGCTGGAAGCTTTACATACATTATCTCACTTAAACATTGCAAGAACCTGTTAGATGGGTAGTGTTCTCTTTTAATAAATTAGGAAAATGAGGTTATGAAGCTTTAAGTCCATTGGTTCATTAAACAGACATTTCCTTCTGGGCCAGGTACTCTGATAGGTACCGAGAATTCAAAGCTAACAGCAGTAACAACAATAGCTCACATTTATTGAGTGCTGGCTGTGTGCCACACACTGTTCTCAGCAACTGACACGCATTGTCTCAGCTAATCCACTGAACAGGCTTGTGAAGTAAGTTTTATCATTATC